TGAATTCCTTCTGTTGCTAATCTCTGGGTTGTCTAGTATTTCTCTTTAGACTTCTTGTTTCTTTCATCACTGAGAAAGAGTGGGAAGCAAAGGTTGTAACTCCCCTGCCAATACTAATATCTTCATTGTGTTTCCTTGGAACACCTTGTTGGGAAGGATATTGGTTCTACGTGCTTAGCTCTGCAGTCAAGGGTATGTGAGTGATTAACAATGTTGCCTAGTGCCCCATACTGAATTCACTGTTTGAGATACTTTGTTGTTCATAGGTGCCGTCTAGTTGGTACCAACTCATAACGACCTTATGCACAACAGATTGAAACACTGCCTGGTCCTGGGCCAACCTCACAATCATTGCTATGCTTGAGCCCATTGTAGCTGCTACTATGTCAATCTGTCTTGTTGGGGGTCTTCCTTTTCTTCACTGACCCTCCACTTTACTGATGTTGTTTTCCAGGGACTGGTCTCTCCTGATATGTCCAAAGTATGAGAGACAAAGTCTGGCCATCCTGGCTTCTAAGGAACATTCTGGCTGTACTTCTTCCAACACAGACTTATTTGTTGTTTTGACAGTCCATGATACTTTAGACCTATTAAGCTTGAGTTAAGTGTGGAACTTTCTGATCAGGATATTTAATACAGTCACAGATAGACAAGTGGGCTCCAAAAAGTTCACGGAAAACTTTCATTATCTTTGAATTCCATTTTTCCATGAATTTTATGAAGTCCCCTTGCACACACCAGAGACCTAGAGATAGATAATACAGACTTTAGTCAACAACATACAAGTGGTATCTGAAATCACAAGATTAGATTTTCTGAGGGAAGTGAGTCTAAACAAAAAATATCAAAACTTGGGCTAATTCCCTAAATGTCAATATTTTTTAATTAGGTAATGAGGGAACTTGAAAAGGAATACTTTAGAAGCAGAAAACCTGGGTTAGGATTATCACAGAAGCCAAACAAAAAAGAAAATTCCTAAAAGAAAGAGTGTTGCCCAGTGTGGTAGAGATGGCAGCAGGGAGAGAAGAGATGATCAAAGCAAGTAAGACGTGTTCCTGGTATACTCAGTAAGGAAATATCATTGCTTCCTATGTCAGAACAATTACACTATTACGGTGGAGCAGAAACAAGAGTACAGTGAATTAAGACACAAATAAGAACGTGAGGTCAAAGCTGTCAATAAATGTCAGCTACTTTTGCAAGATGTTGAACAGTGAGAACCTGAAAAGAAAGACCAACATAATAAAGGTAAAGAAAGGGGAGGTTAGAAAAATCAAAGGAGTGGACATTTGACCCCCAAAAGACTAAGTTAGTGACATAGTAATTGCTTTTAAAGAAGAAGAGAATAATGAAGTTGCTCAAGATAAGTGACATTTCCAGGGTTATGTTGCTACTGTCCTCATACTGTGTCGTACTGCGGTGGTTTGTGTGTTGTTATGGCACTGGAAGCGATGTTACTGATATTTCAAATACCAACATGACCCCCAGGGTGAACAGGTTTCAGTGGAGCTTCCAGAGTAAGACAGACTAGGAAGAAAAACCTGGCAATGAACTTCCAAATATTAGTCAATGAAAACCTCATGGATCGAAATAGAATATTGTCTGATATAGTGCTGGAAGATGAGCCCCCAGATTGGAAGACACTCAGATTCCACTGTGGCTACAAAAATGGGCTTAAGAATAGCAATGATAGTGAAGATGGCAGAGGACCAGAAAGAACCTCAAATCCTGTACCTGGGGACGCTGTGAGTGGAAACGGGCGCGATGCCAACTAATAACAACACGTTTATTCAGTCTATATTTTTTTAATGTGATACAATCAAGTATCCACAGCATACAAACTGCTCTAAAATAAAAAAAAGAAATATGATTCAGCTTTCTTTCATTTGCCTACCTGTAAGTTCTCTTAAGCACAGAAGAACGACAGTGGAGAAGACATACATCTTCTTTCACACAAGTCACACACCTGAGATCGAGCATAGCTTTTCTCCCGATGTCGGCACAAGACATAAAAGGTTCTTAATTACAATGATGGATATCAAGATCTTGAAAAACATGTATATTCATAAAACTGGTTTTCCAAAATGCCCATTTGTTACACTTTGGAACTGACAATGCAGTAGCCCCATCTTTTACTACTATGAAGGCTGAAGTACTTGAAAACATAGGGAAGAAAAGCAGTTAAATATACTACTTATATACTGTATGAAATACAAGAATGGTATGGTTGTTGAATGTTGAATGTTGAAAACCACCAGATTGTCCCCAAACTTTGGTACAGCTTTGTGGATTAATGTGCAGGACTGCAACGTTGGTTTGAATGGCAAGGTAGTTGGTTCAAGCTCACCAGCTGCTCCTTGCAAACTCTCCACAGGGTCACTATGGGTCGGAACTGACTCAACGACATTTAAAAACAATATAAAAATAATTATATATTCTGTTGTATGAGGGAGTTTTTAAAAGTTCATGAAAAAATGTAATTAAAAGAGAATGGACTTTTTCTACAACATTTTTTAAGCCCCTCGTGTGTGTGTGTGTGTGTGTGTGTGTGTGTGTGTGTGTGTGTGTGTAGCCTGTAACAAAGAAACTAAAAAAATGAAATAGATGTAAATCAATTCCCTTAAGAATAAAAACTTGAGCAAATATGTTTAGACATCAAGTCTTAAATATGTTCAGACATCAAGATTAAATGGAATGCATAGTTTCATAAATACAGACTATTTTGTTGATGAAGAGAAAAAAGTATTTTTGTAAGACTGTGACCACCAAAGGAAACAAGTAATTAACAATCGGGCTGCGAACTGCAAGGTCAGCAGTTTGAAACTACCAGCTGCTCCATGGGAGAAAGATGACTCTTTCTGCTCCCATAAAGATTGACAGCCATAGAAATCCTGTTTAGGGTTGCTATGGGTCGGAACCGACTCGACAGCACTTAGAAACAACAATGCATTAGAACGCACCATGCTTTGATAACTAGACTTAACACATTGCACATAATTTAATCCTTAAAACACAACCCTATGGTATAGATAATATTGCTATCCCCAGATCATAGAAGAGGTAACCGAAGTCTGAGATGATTTCATAATTTGTTGCAGTCCGCTCTCTGTTTGGATTTGACCAAGACAATCTGGTTCTAAAAATCTCAACTATTACTAATGTGTAACTTGTAGATAAAATAGGAAGTGTTGTAGATGTAGTTATCAACATAGATTTTTTTAAATGTGTCTAAAGAACCATTATTTGGAAGCAGAGTTGACAAAAATATTTTTATTAATGGAGTCCCAAAAGACATTCCACATCTACTTACCAACTCTCTACTGTTTCACTTTAAAATTTAAATCTAAGGCATTGCATTTTCTTTGAAATTTATCTCTAAATAAATGAACATTTCCACAAAAAATAATTTTGAAGTATTTTTAATGCACAAAAAGAACATCCCAGAAACAGAACAGGTATTGACTTATTAACGATGAAGCACTACATAAAAGAGAGCCCCCACTTAGTAACAGGACTATAGTGTAAACAAACATGAGAGGAGGTGAACACTTCAGGATTAAGCGCCAACCCTAAAGTTGTATACAACATTCATATATGGCTTGTTATCTCATAGCAATAATATTTTCATAATGAAGTAAGTATATGACAAGTATACTTATTGGTAAGATGCTTTTGACTCAAAAGTTAAACAGAAATGCTGAAGAGGTAGTTTTTTCCAATGCAAGGAAAGCAAAAGGCTGTACCTTGCTTTGCTTTGTTTTCCCTCAAAATCTGCAACCATTTCCTTTTCATTGTAATTTTCTCTGAATTCAGATAGGAAGGTAATGATTTTCTCCAACAGGGGAAGCCAATGTACAATCGTCTGAACAATTACTTCCCCAAGTGAACAGTTCTCCAAGTCTTCACACTGTCCTATCTAGCTCCATCTTGGACATGAAATTGACTCTGACTTAATAAAGACTTGTCCGGTTCTGACAAGCAATTGTGGGACTTCAACCTCTTTGCTCTTCAAATTTTATGCATGGTTTCATGACGGTAACTTCTACAAGCATACTGATAGGTGCCCTATCCTTGCAAGTCAGGAACTGGTTTAAATTAAAACAAGATAATAATAAAGTCAGGAATAAAAATTAAATTTTTTTTTAATTCTCCAGGGGACCAGTGGAGTTACATGATGAGTGCTGTAAATTACTGCATATAATCCCTCATCACATTTCAGTTGTATTTTATAAAGTCATGACATCTTAGATTCAAAGGGAGTTTTGGCATGTGATCGATAGATGCCACCTGGCTGCCTTATCTGAAAAAGGGGGCGGGGGGGTGGTAGGGAAGGGCGGAAGGTCTGCAGATATTCAAACTCTTTGACACTGGTCATTTGACTATATGTACAAACTAGCTTATCCTATCCTTACAATAAGAAATAAGCCCATCCCCACCTCCCCCCTCCCCCACAAAAAAAAAAAAGTTTCAAGGGGCAACAAAACATTTGTCAATGAACAAAACTAGAAGATTCATTTACTAGACATGGTTAGGCACCACTAGAAACAAAGGGATATAATATTAACCAGATATGACTTGTTATACATAAGAAAGCATAAATATACAGTGACTAAGAGGTTCCTATGTAGCCCCAGCAGAATATGTACATATGAGATTTGCTGTGAAACTGAGCAGGGATGGCTATAGTCTATCACCAGCTAAAGGCAGTTCCACCGCACAACAGTCTGAAGGTAACAGATGCCGGGCACAACATGTGGTAACACGAAGCAGAGATCCACATACATTTATCCTTGAAAATGCACAATGTGAGAAATAAAGGTCACAAGTGAAATCGCGCTCTGTCTGCTGAACATCTTTTCACATAAATATGGGCAAGTCCGTTCGCCAAGGGTGGTCGGCAGTCTCACATCTCTTGCCTCTCCTTGGGTTCCCTCAGCAGACATGGAACCAAGTCACCTAATGTACACCGATGCCTGATCCCAGTGACTCAGGTCAGCCAGCTCTTGCCTCCAGAGTCTCCAGATCCAAATCAATGCATAAATAACACAGAGACCACGCTAGCGGCGCTTCCTTTCACAATATTACTGTAGACTGGAAGAAGCAGCACAAATGCTGTACACACCGGTGTGCAGGAGTAGAAAGTAGCTTTGTGCACTTTTGCAAAAACAAACCCCACCTACCCACCCCAAATCTTCGCACGTGTCTCTTATTTTACTGGTTAGCTGCTCTGTCTGTCGCTAGGAACACACTGTGTTGTTCTTGGGCTCTTTCTATGAGCTTCCTCTTCTTCTTCTTGTTTCTCTTCTCCTTTGTTTTGGGTGTTCTCTTCCCTACAAGGAGAAGAAGAAAAGGAGAAGAAAAAAAAAAAAAGAAAAAAAATGAAGAGATGTCAGAACAGGCTCTTTTCTGTGAAAGAAAACACAAAACACGGAGAGTTTTTACACATACACCATCTGGAAAATATCACCTATGGAAAAAGCAACCTCAAAGAGAAAATTGTTCACATTAATTTTGAAGGAATAATAATAATTTACTAAATTGGATATGCTGTCTAAAACACAGACTGATCCTCCTGTTACATGGAACTGGCATATTTAAAACCCTCCCAGTGGCCCGATCAGTCTTGCAAATATCATCCTGCCACAAAAATTCCATTTATCCCCTCCTACTTTTAACAATGGTACCTTTTACTAGACATCTTTACATTTTTCTACCGCTGCACATGTCAGTGGGTCAAAAGAAAATAAGCGTCTATCTACAGTAAATATACCAGAAGTTTCAAACTCCCCTCTCCCTGCCTCATGAGAAGAAAAAGGGCCTTGCTTTTAATATTATTCCCTCTGTGGTCTCCAAAAGCCAATATACGTAATGACATATGTGGAATACTTCTTTATTTTCCATGAAAATTCAAGAGGACATCATTCACTATATGGCTTAAGGCTTCTTATACAAATCCCCTTCATAAATTGTTCCCATTAATTATGAGCAAATAAAATGCTTGCTTGCTTGCTTTACTGAACTGGTGGTATATACTCTGCTGAGCAATCATCTGTTCCTCCTCTTTGTTATAGCCACTTTTGTTTTTGTTTGTTAGGTGCCATCGAGTCGGTGCCGACACATAGTGACTTTATGCACAGCAGAACGAAACACTGCCTGATCCTGGGCCAACTACACTATTGTTGCCATGCTTGAGCCCATTGATGCTGCCACTCGGTCAATCCATCCCATTGGGGGTCTTCCTCTTTTTCTCTGACCCTCCACCTTACCAAACATGATATCCTTCTCCAGCCACGGGTCCCTCCTCACAATATGTCCAAAGTATGAGAGACAAAGTTTGGTCATCTTGGCCTCCAAGGAGCACTCTGGCTGCACTTCTTCCAACACAGATTTGTTGGTTCTATGGGCAGCCCATGGCACTTTCAATATTCTCCTCCAACACCATAACTCAAATGCATCAATTCTTCTATGGTCTTCCTTATTTACTGTCCAACTGTCACACGCATGTAAGGTTATTGAAAATACCATGGCTTGGGTCAGGCACACTTTAGTCCTCAAGCTGACATCTTTGCTTTTCAACACTTTAAAATGGTCTTGTGCAGCAGATTTGCATTATGCAATACGCCATTTGATTTCCTGACTGCTGCTTCCGTGAGTGTTGATAGTTGATCCAAGAAGAATGAAGTCCTTGACAACTTCAATCTTTTCTCCATTGATAAGAATGTTGTTTATTGGTCCATAGGTGAGAATTTTTGTTTTCTTTACGTTGAGATGTGATCCATACCGAAGGCTGTGCTCTTTGATCTTCATCAGTAAGTATTTTAAGTCTTCTTCACTTTCAGCAAGCAAGGTTGTATCATTTGCATATCGCAGGTTGTTAATGAGTCTTCCTCCGATCCTGATGCCACATTTTTCTTCACATAACCCAGCTCCTTGGATTATTTGCTCAGCATACAGGTTGAATAAGTATGGTGAAAGAATACAACCCTGTTGCACATCTTTCTTAATTTTAAACCATCCAGTGTTTCCATGTTCTGTTAGAACAACTGCCTTTTGGTCCAGGTACAGAGTCCTCATGAGCAGAATTAAGTGTTCCAGAATACTCATACTTCGCAATGTTGTCCATAGTTTTCATGATCCACAAAATCAAAAGCATATGCATAATCAATAAAGCACAGGTAAACATCTTTCTGATATTCTCTGCTTTCAGCCAAGATCCATCAGACATCAGCAATGATATCCCTTATTCCACGGCCTCCTCTGAATCCAACTTGAACCTCTGGAAGTTCTCGGAATCGACTCAACCTTCAATGTAACAGACTGGAAAGAAGCCTGCTGTCAGCTGTTCTTCCTTTCCTGCATGCATTACTTCCAACTTAGTCATGTGGTTCTTGGGAACACTGATGTTACCTCTGCCTGTGGCGTGAAACTACAGAACACTGCAGCAATCAGTACCACCAACAGAACACTAAATTCTAATCCATGTCCTGCAGGCTTCCCACATCTGTAAACTCAACATTCCAGACCCATTCATGATACGAGCATAGCTGACAAGCTTTTCAATTCCCACAATGGAGAAAGTGGTTGATAAAAGAAATAAAAAGTAGATGAAAGGTTAGTCAGAGTTAGATGCCTTCCTTAGTTAACTAGATTGAGGGTGGCCATAAGATTTCTACATAAGAGAGGCACTTCTCATGTCTAATGAGCCATGGTGGTGCAGTGGTTAAAGCTCTCAGCTGCTAACTGCAAGGTCAGTGGTTTGCACCCACCAAAAGGAGAAAGACATGGTAGTCTTTCTGTAAATTTACAGAAGTAGCTTTAAATTTACAGCCTTGGAAACGCTACAAAACAGTTCAACTCTGTCCGAGAGGGTCGCTCCCAGTGGGAACAGGCTCAGCACCGGAGTCTCATTTTTGCTCTTACGGATCCCAAAAGTTCTGATGGGTTTCATCTGAGGGCAGAAAACTGTCCCGTTCCTCATGTCCTTAGCATAGTGGTTGGCACATAGTTGATATTAAATAACTGTGTGCTGAGTAAAAACTCTTTATCACAAGAAAAAAGACAAAAAAGAGTAACTTATTTTTAATAGAACATGACATTAAAATAATGAGAACATGATCATGCCCTCCTATTAAGTTATAAAGGTCCTTGAAGTTAAGTTCTGGTTCTCATTAAATTCTGGCATTAACATTATAATGGCATTTTGCCATCTTTAAACCTAGTTAATCCTACCCAATGAAATCTTACTCTAAGCCATCATTAATCAAAGTAGCTGTAAAGTAACAACTCTTTAGAAACATAATATCTAGTGAGGCGATACCACCTAATACGGGTAGAAAGATGAAATATTTAACAAAATAGCACATTCTAAAAAATTTCAATTATAAAGTTTTATGAACAGGTTTTTCTTAGTTTTAAAGTAGTTTTAAAAATCAATTCTGACTATACTTTAAAAATACATTAGGTTTATATTCAATTTATTTAAAGCCTAGACTTTAAAGGAGTCCTAGTGTGGTGCAACAAGGTAAGAACTTGACTGCTAAAAGCTAGGTCAGAGGTCCAAACCCAGAAGCTGCTATTCGGAAATCCTATACAGGGTCACAATGGGTCAGAATCAACTCCACAGTACTGAACAGCAATGACAGAGGTTAAGAGCTATTTAAAATGAGGTGAATGGAAAAGAATAATGCTCACATTACTAAAAGTTAAAGTGTGTTCTAATAAAAGAAAAAATATGCCCTGTATACTGTTATTTAAAGAAAGGTTTTTACATGCACAATTGAAATATTTCATGTAAACCATGCAATGGAAAGTTAAATGTATAATACTTTTTACTCACAACAAAATCTATACTAAGTGGCTGGAAACTCTCATTTTAAGACATCAATTTGGTGTTATTTACCTAACATGTGACCCTAATATAATTGTCAATATTAAACGGTCTTCAGCTGTGCTGGTTGATCTAATAGTGTGTAATAGGCAAGTCACTCACTATTCTCATAGAAAATTTTGTTTCATGGCCAAAAATGTAGCAGTGCTCCTGAAAATCTATTTATATAAAATAATTTTTCAAATTGAAGATTTATTTATTTGGCAGCAAGTTATGTGGCATCAGTTCCAACTAGAGATATTTGGGAACCCTAATTACTATTTGTTGGAGTCTTAGTGTGGTTGCTATAGGATAAGGACTGAACCGCAAAGTGGGTTTGAACCACAAGGTTAGTAGTTCAAACTCAATAGCTGCTCCTCAGAAACCCTATACAGGGCTGCAATGAGTCAGAATTGACTCAAGGACATTTAACAAACATATATATAAATATATGTGTGTGTGTGTGTATATATATATATATATAATGTATGTTTGTATGGAGTCCTGGTATGGCACAGTAGGCTAATGTGTCAGACTGCAAAGTCATTTGAACTGCATGGTCAGTGGTTCAAGCTCACCAGCTGCTCCTTGGAAACCTATACAGGTTGCTATAGGTCGGAATCAACTCAACGGCACTTAATAACAACATATATATATTCCTGTTCTAACCTATGTATTTGAAAAATTAGTTATATTGGTCATTTGTTGTTGTTACGTGCTGTGGAGTCAGTTCCAACTCATAGCTACCCTGTGCAGGGTCTCCGAGGATTTAAAATCTTTACAGGAGCAGAAAGCCTCATCTTTCTCCTGCAGAGCATCTGATGGGCTCGAACGTCTGACACTGCGGTTACAGTCCAGTATTTATCATACAAAGCCATTGCATATTGTTGTTGTTGTAATGATGACTGTTGTTAAGTCAATTCTGACCCATGTACAGGGTTTCTAAAGAACAGCTGGAAGGTTTGTAGTTTGCAGTCCAGTGCTGACCCTACAGCGCCACACAAGGAGCACATATACATGTAAATTTCCGTTTACACTTAACTTCCTTACATCTGTGGATAAAATGTTGTTGCTGTTTTTGTCACTATGTGGATTGCTCCTGATGTGATCTATGAGTGCATAGCAGAGGTGCTCCACAGGAAGCAGACTGCTAGGCCTATTCCTGGGGTCCTCTGGGGGGGATTCAAGCTGCCAATCTTCCAGCTAGAAGTAGAACATTTAACCCCTGTGCCACTCATGGTTCCTGAGTATAAGATTTTGTTGTTGTTAAGCCATTGAGTCACTTCCGACTCATAGTGACCCTGTATAGCGTTTCCAAGGAGCTGCTGGTGGGTTTGAACCGCTGAAGTTCTTGACTTTGAACCACAAGGTGAGCAGTTCAAACCCACCAGCAGCTCCTTGAAAACGTTATAAACGGTTTCTATGAATCAGAAATGATTCGATGTCTTAACAGCAACAAAGTCT